TTCTGTTCAACCCTAGCACAGAAAAAAACAGACACAGGAGATGTTTTAGAAACTTGAGAAGCACACAAAGATTCTCACCTGGGAGACTAAAACCTCTTTGAACAGACAGGTGCTAGAAATGGCAACATTCCCCCATAAAGGATCCCACAACAGTGGGATACACAACTAGGAAAGACACTCAGAAATAAGACACTTATTCTGCAAAATATATCTCTGTTCCCCATCAACCAAGCAATACTTTTTTAGTCTGTTTGCATAAGCAGCTTGTAGTTTTTCCACAATATATTAATGTCTGCTTGACAGCAGTTAAAGGCCCCAGTCTGCAGACTTATTTAAAGGACATAAAACTTCAGGGACTTGGATGGTTCTCTTTTTTTCAGTGGGACTACTACATGGAGCTGGACTGAAAAACCCTGCTGAGGAATGGTCTTAGAAATAGCTGTGCACAGGTCTATGTAGACCTGTATAAATATGCAGTAGGTTAATGTGTGCTCTACAGATATATCTTTGTATGAATAATTTGCACTGTGTTGCTGCTTTTGGTTTGTTTGTTTTTTTGGTTTGTTTTTTTTTTTTTTTTTTTTTTTCCTGGCTTTGCAGTCAAGGGGACGCTTAGTTTCTCCAGCAATTTACTTTCCAGTGATTGAGTAATACTCTGTGATTGCTGGTGTGTGAACATCATTACTTGGTGACCTTTCCTAAGTGATTGTACGATGACAACTAGGTTACAGCTGCCCTTAAACCAGCCTCAAGTTTGCGATGATCAAGGGATTAAAGCCCTGTCTTTCATGCTGCTAGTTTCTGAGCTTCTGAATTGAGTCTTTAATGTTGCCATCATTTCTGGTAGTTAGAAGACAAGCTGAGACTTCGGTCGTGTATTTGTGGCCAAAATGTGAGCACTGGTTTTGGCTGGGCAGATGAACAAACTCAGAGGGTGTAGTTTATCTAACCCAAAAGTAATTCACTGAATTTGATCTGATAACAGTTCTCCAGACCAAAAATCAAAGTTTAAAGAAAGAGTGCTGACCAGCCACTTTATCTAGAGATTGACATTTTAGATTTGAAAGTAATTATTTTGGATGAAGCATGATAGCTGGACAGCACAGAAACTTCAGGGCATGTGTGCTAGTGCTCCCTCACCCTCAGTTACACAATTCAAGATACTGGTGACCTCTCTGTGAGGAGGCAGAGGTGCAAGAGGATGTTCTTGGGGCTTCTGTGAAGGTGCCCACTAAATAGTGATTTACACCCTTACAACTATTCCTTTAATTAGAATTCACCATGAACACATGGCTTGCAGGTAAGTTGTTTGGGCAACGTGAAGAACCAAAGTTCCAGCAGCACAGTCCTTCAACAGAGGTGTTATCAGCACCACTGAGGTACCTGAGTGCTTTCACAGATCACCTCAGCAATGAGGAAAAGCTGACTGAAGCCTGATCTCAAGCAGGGGAGAGGTTATGTAAACAAAGAAAACCCTTTTTGTAGTCTCAGTTCTTTGAGGGTATGCAAGCACAATTGGTTAACCTGCTAATTAATTTGGTGATGGCCCTGGACTCTGAGCTATCACTAAGCTTGTGCATGTATTTTGTTTAAGAGCCCCCCTGTCTCCTGGCAGATTACATGTGTAACCAAAACTGTGTTTCCACTACCCCTTCTCTGAAACAGCAACGTGATAGAGCTGGGTATGACACTATCACCTTTGAAAATGCACGATCTAGAACACAACATACAGCTCATCTTAATAACACAAACCCAGCATAAATGCATCACAAGCACCCTCTTCTTGCATAGTGGCTTCTCATAGCCAAGTGAGAGCTCATTTTTTCAAGGTTATCTGAGTTTCCTGGGAGCTGCTCTGTTAGCGTGGAATAAAATCTCATGGGAGTAAGGGCTTATCAAAGCTACACTTTCTACTCCCTTAGATTACCTTCTTTGTTGCAAACACAACATCAACACTTTAAGATAAAACCCCCAAAATTAAAAGTAAAACCCCAATCTTCTCCTGCCTACACAGTTTTGCCTTTGAGCCTGAAATGAAAGAGTGGCAGATATTTAGCCACATCACTTAACATATTCCTGGAAGGCATTTGGATGCTGTGGTGAAAAGGGGTGTAGATAAACCAACGTAAAACAACAAAGCCATGTTGTGTAAGCCATGGAAGGCTCCACAGACAGTCAAACTGAGACCACGCACACTCCTTGGGTCCACTTTCCCTTCCCAAACACCTTAAACTTGGCAACAGGTTGGTGGCCTATGTGGTGCTGGGAGCAGAAAAATGTAATGATGCCTGGGAACTCAGAGAAGGAAATGACAAGGGCTGTGTTCTGAGGGAGAGAGCAGGTTATATCCCCCAAACACTGCATGATTATGGTTTCAGAAGAATCTATCATTCACTGTACAGATCAGGTGTCTCTTACTTTTCTACCAGAGGAACTACTTATTGTCACTACTCACCATTATTATCATTTAAATAATCATTATATACTTGATTTCTAATATATCACTGGGATGAATTAATGTTTTCACGTTTGCCTTTGTCTTTACTCTAAGACCACCAGTTGATGTATGTCATCATAGTCTCATGGCACAGTTTCTGTTCCAGGTGCTCCATGGACTTGTCTCTATGTTATTTAGACTACAGACAGATATCCTCTCCTAGAACAGATTAAGATGTTAGTCTTACCCCTCCCCTCACTTCTGCCAACAAAGCAACTTGTTTAAGTGCTTCCTAACCCACTTCAGGCACAATCAACAGAGTTAGTGTATGGCTCCTATTTAAATTGTTTGAACTATCTCAGCTGATTCTGCTTGAAGTGGGTTAGGGAGAACTCACACAAACAGGTGGGAGAGCTGCCAGGGTAGTAATCAATGCCCAAGGGACCCTATAAACAGCTTGAAAAGAGAAGGGCAGGGCACAAATGTTTTAAACCTCTGCAGCTGTTTGCAAATTGAACCTCTACATAGAACTTGTAATCTGCACGTGAGCTATGGCAATACCCCTCTTTCCAGATGAGATGTTCTCCTCAGCTGTAACCACTAGCAACTTCTTAAAAAAAATAAAACAGAATGAAAGTTCAGAATGGTAAGAAATTTTACAGTGATGTGCCCATATAGCATATGAACAGATATTATCTGAGCCCAGCACAGCATATTGTGCAACAGCATGGGAGAGGGGAAATTTTGGCCAGGAAAGTCAAAGCATATTCTTTCTTTTATCTGTTGGATGCTAAAGCAGTGCCTTCCATGTGCCATTTGATTTGACTGGCCAAACGAGGGGGGCAGACAGTTTTCATCCAGCTTCAATCCCCAGCTCTGGAGCTTACTTATCAGAGTCTGCGTGTTTGCTGTTTCAACCCACCGATAAGGGAGCCCATCCAACAAGCAAATTGGGCTGCCTTCCACCACGCAAAATCTTTCATCTTCCAAAATCTCCAAGGGGAACAGAGCGAACAAACATGTTGGGCGAGTGTGCTCAGTTTGTGGTAAACGGCTGAACAACCCCCCCCAGGACATATGCACAGTCTACAGCCATCGCACCAACGCTGGGTATGAGGACCAGAGGATACATCTCATTAATTTTCCTATACAGGCCCTCGATCGGCGCGAGCTCCTGGTGTAGCGATGTGGAGCTGGGAGCAGGCGATAGGAAACTGCCCCCTCGTGGGAAACACACTCGTTCTCGTGGTTCACGCTCCATCCCAGGCATCTGAAGGGGCTATTTCTGGCTTCACCACGCACTCACAGTATGACCAGGGCTGAGTCACACATCATTATCCTGCATGCAAATTAGGTGTCAACAACTTTGCAGGTGATGGTTTGTTGCTATTTTTCGTTTGAAGTGCTCAAGTGTACTAATATGTTGTATCCTGGGCCTGTTTACAGCCAGCCTGGAGGATCTGTGGGCTGTAGCGTGGCCACCTGCACCCAAAGAAATACCACTTTGTATTTTTTACAACTGACTGGTTCCACGTGTGTGTTTTTTCCTGGGGCAAACCCCACCTTCACTGAGACGTGAACTGAGGCAGGTCTTGCTCTGAAGGGCAGCAGCATCTGCAGTGTTTGCTGGGGGGTGGTGAACCCTTTCTTCCCCACCATCCCCCAGCACGTGCTGCAACCTTTGTGGTCAAACACAACTTGAAAGAATCGCAGAATATCGTGAGTTGGAAGTAACCCAAAGGGTACCTTCATCGAGTCCAACTCCTGGCCCTGCACAGAACACATCAAGTCACACCATGTGCCCAAGAGTATCATCCAAATATATCTTGAGCTCTGTCAGGCTTGGTGCCATGACCACAGCCCTAGGGAGTCTGCTCCAGAGCCCAGCCACCCTCAGGGCGAAGAACCTTCGCCTAATATCTAACCTAAATTTTCTAATATCTAACCTAAGCAGCTTTTAAGCTGATGAAATCCATCGTGCCAGGCCATCTAGCAGGGGCCAGCCCTGGCTGGTGGGGGTGAAGGAGCACCCTTAAAAAGCATGAGTAGGAAAGTGAGTGTGAGACCCGGACATGGTGTAAATGGTGTGGAACAAGGGGCGTAATGTGCTGGTTTGGGCTGGAATAATTCTCTTCATGGTGGCTAGTGGCTGTGTTTTGGATTCGTGCTGGACAAAGGGTTGATAATACAGAGGTATCCGTTTCAGGGAACGGGAATTCATTTTGGGATGGGTTGCCCAAGGAGGTGGTGGGCTCAGCGTCCCCCGGAGGCGCTGAAGGAAAGACGGGACGAGGCACTGAGTGCCATGGTGTGGCTGACACGGCGTTGCTGGGACACAGCTTGGACCCGATGGTCTCTTCCAACCTAATTCATCCGGTTATTCTGAGTACACCGCCAAGCCCTGAGCTACGGCTCTGCTGACAGACACAGATACACACACACACGGCCCGGAAGGGCCTCCCCTCCGCCCGCCAAGCCCACGGGCGCTGCCCTGACCCGACATGGCGGCCCGAGCGGCGGCGCAGGCGCGGGGGGCGGCGCTGCCGGGCGGCCGCTCGGGGCCCGCCCGCATGGAGCCCGAGCCCGGGGAGCCGGGGGGGCCGGCGGCCGCCTGGATGCAGGCGTAGGGCCCGCACTGCCGGCTCCCCAGCATGGCGAGCTGCCTGCCGCCCTGCGTGATAGACGGCGGCACCGGGTGAGTGCGGGGAAGGCACCGGCTGCCGCTGTGCTGGGAGGGTGGGTGTCTCCGCGCCGCGCCTCCCGCTGCCGCCGAGGGCTCCTCCATCGGGGCCGGGCTCCCACCCCGTCTGTCCCGGTGTCCTCTTGACTTGTCGCCTCTGTGGCCGAGGGTTTCCTTTCCCTTCCTTCCCCTTCCCTTGCCCGCTGCCCTCCTCCTGCTGCTGCCCTTCCTCCCCTCCGGAGCTGGGAGCGGGGCAGCCCCGCCGTGCGCCCCCGGCGATGATGGGGTGTTTCTGTGCGCCCTTTTCTCCTCTCGGGTCCAGTTGTTGCGTGTGTCCTCTGGCTTTAAACTAGTGCGCGGTTAAAATGCTAACATTGGGGACGGCTCGTTTCAAACAGACAGGGGGGACCGCTTTGCCAGGGAGCCACGAACCAGCGCTGAGAGTGGTCCAGAGGCAGGTGAGCTGTGCCCGCCGGGCTGTGGCGTGTCCATGCACGGCACCCGCACCGCAGGGACCTTGCTAGATTGCACCCGCCCTGTGCATCTCCATGAGCCTTTCCAGGTACTGCCTCCGGTGAGGTGGGAGCTGGCTGCCTCGCACCCGGAGGTGTTCCTGGTCATTAGGTCGCCTCTTCGCCTTTGTCAGATCAGTGTGAGATTCATTCTGTGCTTAACCAAACCACAAGTTTTGTAACTCAGGTCTTCGAGGACAAAAGCGAAATCCGAGTTGCAGAGGCTGTGCTAGGAAGGCGTTTCAGGGATGGGTCTTTCCTACCTGTCTGTGGCTAGAGAAAATCCATTCATCATCCAATAGACCAGTCCTGCTGTGTCTTAGGAGTGGGATGTGTCAGAGGGAGCTGTAATGAAGGTAATACTAAATCTATGGTGTGCTTTTGCTAATATCTTTCTTTTGGCCCAACAGTTACAGACAGGTCTGAGAAGGGGAGGAGATGAGACAACTGTCCTTGAGTAACTATTTATTCCATAGTTCTGTTTGTCAGGCATGTTGTCACTGATTGCATTAAATTATTCCAGTAATAGAACTTTGCTCTACGTGGACTTTGCAACACTATTTTAATTTCTTCAATACTTGGAAAGTTATCTTTAGAATTTCCCGAACTGAACAATCTTTAAAAAACCAAACCCAAAACCAATCCAACCAAATAAAGAAACTCCAATCCCTAGATAACCACGGGAAGCCCTTCCAAGTGTTGTGGTGTCACATTGCCTTCCCCTGGAAAAGTGTGTCCTGTTTTGAAATATGTCTATTAAACTGTCACAAAAGTTTTAGAAGTCTCTTGACCTGTTTCTGTTTATACCTTAGCTTTCCAGAAATCAGCTCTCTCCCCTCAGTGGGAATACTTGAGTCCACAGCTGGAAACTGTAGGAGTGGAATAGAGACCAGGTTCCATCTCATATAATTCTGCCTGTGCATCAAATACTACTTGACAGTTTCCCGGCTTTCTCCTATTTATTTGGTGAAGCTATTGTAAATATCTGTTCTCTCTAGAACTATTGGTGTTACAAGATTATTACTTGACAGTTTGGAAAGAAATGGCAGGTCTGGGTGGATCCTTTAAAAAGAGTACAGCATAAACTGTAAAATCCAGAAAACACGTTAGATGTAGTGTCTGTCTTTTGCAGGAGACACCTTTTGCTTCCAGTTTATGGAGTAATTCCAGTGTTACACTGGCAGTAGATATTGCTGACCAACAGTTGTACAAAATAAATAAGAGTGGGAAATGGCTTATTGTGTACTTTCAGATAAATAATAACTGAAGTAGAATTTCTAAAGCCCATTCAGTGCTTGCATGGGTAGAACTGATGGAGTTTGTGTGTACAGGCATGTATACAGTTTTGTTTCAGGAAGGGTTTGGATAGTCCCCAAATGGTGCACATTTGAATTTCAATGCCTCTGATTGAACTTAATTCATAGGAGACAACATGATGTCTCTGCTGGTGGGACTTCTGCTTGACTTTGCCGTAGGGCACTCAAACATGGAAGACTTTCCAGCAAAGAGATTATTGAATGTGAAATAAGTTATCTTGCACAATTCAGGAAGAAATAAGAGTCTGAACAAAAGCAGCCAGAACAAGTAGCTTGACTCATTGATGCTCTGGAATTTTCCTCTGTGTGGGCTGAAAACCTTCTTATTGTTAGAATGAATCTACTTTGGGTTACAAGCTTCAAACAATTCATTCAAATTATTCATGAAAGGGCTTTGAGATTAAAAACTTGGAAGAGCACAGCAGAAAGGAAAAGGTATATGCAGACATGCACTGTGGAACATTGTGCATATAAAATGCACTTTTCTACTTACATCTGTGGTACTCAATTAAGTGCTTTGTCCAGGCACTAATCCATGGTTTTTTCATGTAAGGGATTTTAATAAGATTGTTAAAGGACACTTTTTTTTCTATTGTTGTTTTGTGCATAAGGAATCTGGCTTAATTTACTGTTAGGTGCTGCCAGAGGCCCCAGGTCTGGCAAATGCTGGAATTTCTCAAAAAAAGGAAGAACAGGTGTGTAGAAAATAGGTACAGACCTTCAGTGAGAAATGTATTGTCATATCAGGACGGGATAACATTCCTTTAATGTATTGGATAGATGACTTGAGTTTTGTTTGTCATAAACTGATCACTCTTTATTCACCAATTTTGCAGACAGTGATAATAATTTGCTATAATCTTTTCCATTAGTATTTGCAAATTACTTGTACTGCAGTTTTGATGCGCTGCATCTTCATTTTCTCTGCATGAGGTTTTCCTCGTGATCAGTTTACGCATTGCTATCACTCTTTTTGTGGAGAAGGGCATGCTATTTTTAGTTTCTAAGGACTACCAGGCCTTTTTGGTGTGGCTGTTTTAAGTAGCTTTAAACTTCACAACTAGTTTTATTAACTGGCATTTAGCTGTGAGACATCAGAACACTAGTAGGTGGGTGTGCAAAACAAAGATGTCTTAAAATACCTGTCTTCAAGTCTGCTAAGGAGTACTTCTAGTTTGGGTATATTTTATTGAAGTGACTCCATTTTTGTTGTAGTAAAGAAAAATTACTTTTTCAAAGTCTTACTGATGAGCTGGGAGGTAAATACTTAATTTCTGGGAGATGTGAGCTGGACTGGTCTTAAAACTTGAAGCTTAAGGTGTTTTTTGATGTTGTTGCTGAGCTATGAAAGATATCTGGAACCTCAGAACCTAATGAGTTGCTTTAGCCAGGTATTACCTCTGCTCTTCATATGTGAGACTTGTGAACAACCATTATTGTAATTGCTGTTCTGGGTCTAAGGAGCCTGAGATAATTAATTATTGTTTATAATCACAGGCTTCAGTCCTATAAAATGCTAGACTCCCTTAAAAAACCCAATGGCTCTAATGTACTTTTTATTCTTATAGTGACTGCTGGTGCTCTTGGGTAAATTGTGCAGACAATTTTGTCTGTTTGATATTTTCTCCTTCATCCCTTCTTTATTCTCATCTCTTCATCATATCCTCCTTCATTTCAAGCGTGCCTTTCCAGATCTTTATAAAGAACCTGCATTGCAAGTTTCCCAGTCATATTTGTAATAATGATAATAGAGTCTGTTATGGCAGTGTGGCACTACAGATGTTCTGGCAGTAATCACTTGGTTGTGCAGTCTCTTAGCTGTCAGAGAAAGTGTTCTCTCTAGAGAGGTTATTATTTGTGTATTTACAGGGCTCTCTTAAAGCATTTTGCTGTTTTTAATCACATCATATCTATCTTTACAGAGATTTTTGTGTGTGTGTGTGTGTGGATATAATACATTGTTTTAAAGATCTGGGCCACAAAGCAGTAGAAGGTGAGGAAATGCTAGAATGTTCACCTCTGGGATTGGATCTTTTGCACACTTGTGCAGAGAAAAATCGGATGTCTTTTGTTTTCAGATGGATAAAGCAAAGTGCTGCATGAGTTTGTGATTTTGAATACCTAGATTATGTTGCTCTCATCCCTTAGTAAGAATTTTCCAAATATATATCTCCACTCTCTAAAGCGGTTAAGGGTGCAGCATCTGCCTCCAAGTTCAGTCCATTTGTAGATCTTTGCAGTCATTCCTTGATGTTTTACCATTTTTCCTGATGGGACTTCAGAAGAGAACAGGGTTAGAGCAATCCTCATGCAAAAGCAGGTGGACTTGTGTGGGAACTCATTGCCCTGGAAAAATAGTATGGAGGAGACCATGCTATTTTTAGAAACTGTTTGCTTCCACAATATATAATTTCCAGTGATTTTAAAAAAACTATTAGTCCTCCAAATCCCTTTGCATGGAATAGCCTTAGTCTACTGGATCAGTTTTCTGCTCATTTTTAATGCAGTCTCCAGTATCCCATATTTTGGACAGCTTCCAGTAGGTTCCTGTCTCACCAGCAATAAATCTGCTAGTTTTAATGAAATTAAGTTGGAATACTGATTATCTACACATTCCCTACAGCTGTCTCTGTAATTTGCAGATCACAAGACGTGGCATAACCATTAGTCTGCTAGGCTGTAACCCAGGAGAAAGGAAACCGTGTTTTAGATGCTTAAATATTCATTGGAGAAGGGACTGGAGACCAGGCAACCTTTCTAACTGCTTAAATCCAAAGCCTTTCCGGTCAGCGAATATTTAAATATCTTGTATGAAAGGGAATAATTTCTGCAGGAGGTCCTGGAAGTGGGTCACCCAAACACTTTAATGTACTCCTGGGGACGGCTGTGAGAGGTGAAATGTGTTTGGGTCCTGCTGGGCAGAACAGGAATCTGGGCCCAAGTCCTCCATGTCCTGAGCGAATAGGCTGCTGCATAAGAGCAGTGTGACTGCATAATCTGTTTTCCTTCTCCTCCTCAGTGGTTTTGGGAGAAATTAAGAGTTTCCCTTCCATTTGGTTTTGTCAAAACACCTGAAATATGGTCTGTTTCTTGTTTGATCCTAAATAGTTTTTTTTTTTTTTAACAGATTTTTTTCCCCCCACTTCTTTGCTTCACCACTGAGTTGAGAATGTAGTTACTCTCATAGTTCTAGTATTACTCCTTCGTGGACTAATGGCACGCAAAAGAAATCTTTCTAGGTGCTGCCTTCTGTGAGATGAGTTCTGTGAAGAGAACTGTTTTCCACTGACAAATAAACTTACCCTGTAGTTTTGTCATTAGCTGAATTAACCCCAGTTAAAAATTAGTCTGTAAAATATTGAACTAGAGGGTTTTGGCAACTTTGCAAGTTGTTCTAATAGGGGGATCCAATCCCTGCTTGAGAAGGAAGGTAAAGCTGCTACAGCCTGGTAGCCCATATTGACTTTTAGAGGGTATTTTTTAATACTGTGAGTTTAGCATGTGTGTTGAGCGGTAAAAGGTGGCAAACTGAGTTCTCCTTTTGGCCAGAGTTTAGTTTAAGAAATGACATCTGCTTAGATTTCAGGGACCTTTTCATTTGTACATGCACACAGTTCTATAAAAATGGTATAAAAAGTATGTATTCAAATTCACATGCTTGTATGTGAATTTATACATAATATATTATGTATATATTATATGGATATATAATATATAGTATGCCATAATATGTATATATTGTCTTTGGTTTTTTGTCACTGGGGCTTGAAGGGCTGTTCTTGTGAGGTTTCTGCCTAATTGCTGTTTCTAGGCCTTGGAACTAGGTCTTTTGAATCAGAAAATGCTTTCCTTGGTTTTCACTATTGCATTTAGTCAAAATTCATTTCTGAGAGAGAAACAAAGAAGTTGTATCCTGTAATAGGTCTTAAATCCCATGTAACTCGCCTTGTTGCTTGTTATGTTTTAACAATATTCCCTAGGTAGGCCTCATTCTAAAATGTAAAGAATTTATGCAATAATAATCATAAAAAGGATTCTTAGTAGTAATGGCCTTCTTTACAAATCAGTCTAATTTAACATCCTGATTGTGTTTTTCTGAGAGCCACAGAAAGTATGTGTAAACTCTCTGGATTAGACTGAAAGCATATGTCTATAATGATGATTAAAAACCCAACAAACCCTTGCCCCCAAAACACAGTCCTTGTCTTTTTTAACCTTGGGGAGAATGGCTTTTTAACTATTATTTGAAGTCTATTGAAGATATGGCTTTGAAGAGATGTTGAAAGTATAATATTGTAATTCCAAGGTCGGTGCTAATTCAGTTTTAATTCCTTTATCTAAGCAAACTTGACTCCTAATGAGTGTTTTTATACCAAATATTCTATAAAGGGGAACCTACTGTTCAAGCTGCTAATGAAGAGGCAAACCTGGGGGTTTGGCATAATACTGTTTGCAAAGATTGAGAGTAGGACGTGGGCAAAGACCTTCAATTCACATTTGGACCTAGATTGGAATTGGTCTCATTTAAGAATGTCGTGGCTTTAAGTTTTCCTGGTAAAAATGGATGTGAACAATGTTAATTCCCTCAAATCATGCTGCTATTGTACTTCTGTTTCAATCTAATGACAATATGCAAGAAAGACATCAGTCTCTGTAGGCATTCAGTTGATTTAGTTGTGTTTTTTTTACTCCTTTTTTTTTTTTTTAATGTTCTGATGTGTGGTTTTTTTGGTTGTTGTTGGTTTGTTTGTTGTTGTTTGTTTTTTTTTCCCTTCCCCCCCAGCCCCTAGGAAGTTTTTCATAGACTAGGATGTTAATTATTTCTAGTTGCTAAAGTCCTGGAGTAGCTTTCAGCCACTCTCACCATGTAGAGATTTTTACGTTTTTGTGTGAAAATTGCTTTCCTTTTTTTCTTCCCTCTTCTTTTTTCCTCTTGATCCTTTACTTGTTAAAATAGATATTATATGTATATTGAAAGAGATGATCAAAGCTTCATACCATCTGCTGCCCATTTCTAAAGCATTTCATCAGTGCAGCCTTTGGTGGAGTATTTGTCTTTTATCACACACAGATACTATACCTGTGACAAAGTGAGTGGTTTGTGCAAGGCATGAAAGGGAATTTTACCAGGATTGTAACGAGAGTTTCAGCTGTGGTTTGTGCTTGAGATATGCTATTTGTTTTTTTTTTTTTTCTCTGAGAATATTAAATATGTGAAGTCTGCCATTTTTGGTCATGGTAGCTGCCTGAAAGGTAAGATCCTGCACTGCCCTGTTTCTGCCAAAGGTTGGACTGTGGCTTGCCAGTCCTTTGTCATAGCTGGTCTCCAACAAGATGGAGAAAGTAAGAGTTTTCAGATTGGATAGTTCAGAAAAAAACACTACCAAAATTTGTAAGCTGAAAGTGTCTGAAAAGTAAGTAACACCTAAAACATTTACCACTTTTGAGTTTTCATCTCACCAGGATGATACTTGAAAGCATAAAAAAATGTAGACATAGCCTATGATTGTTTGGCCTCCACTTTAAGAAGTGGAGTGAATTGGAAGTATTTTTTCCTTTATTTTTTTTGCATCTAAGTGCATCTAATGACCTTGTGATCATTTTATTTTTTTAGGTATACGAAACTTGGCTATGCAGGAAATACAGAACCTCAGTTCATCATCCCATCATGTGAGTAATTTTTTTGTCCCTCCAAATTCTGATATACAGTGCTGTCACTGAGCACTTTCAGGACTGAATGACGTGCTTCCAGCTCCCAACACAGCCTTCGTAGCCCCTTGTCCATCTGGGAAGTGACATTCGTTGAGTTGGCATCTCTGGCTGGAGTGTAGCTAAACAGAACTCCTTGTTTGCAGTTAGCCAGGAGTGTTGCTCATTAAACCAGCTCCTGGTTGCTATGACAAAGATGAAGAGAACTCCAGTCCAATTTCCTTTTTATCTCCATTATTCTTCTGCCAGGACTCTTGAGTAGACAGAATGCAATTTACCTCCTGTCTACCTGACACCATGGTTACAGCCTGGATAATCTGGGGAAGGCTTCCAATCAAATTAAGTACTAAAGTGCAGGTGGTGTCTGCCTTATTTACATTGTCTGGGACTGTAGACAGTGTAATATTCAAAAAAGTTGTTCCTATTAGAAAATGTTCTTTTTTGGGTGCGTTTACCAATTAAAATGTTCTTGCATATTTAACATGCTTTTGTTAAACAGATTTACTCTTTCTTTTTTTTTTTTTAATGGTAAACTCAAGTTTAAAATGTTATATATCTTTCTGGTGTTCTTGATTTTAATTGTCATCTTAATAGTTTCTCTGAAATGCTGTATATATTTATAAATCATAGCACTGTGTATTTACATCTATAATAGCATCTGTTTTCTCAGTTTATGTTAAACACTGCCTTTTAGTTTTTGTAAACTTTTCCAATTAACTACTTACTAATGGATCAATAATGCATTGTAGCTACTCATGATAGAAAGTATAAAGATAAGGAAATAAAGGTAATTGGGGGCCGAAGAGGTGGAGGGGACACATGTTCTTTACCAGGTGTAGCTGCAGTACTGCTTATAGTATCACTATTTCAATTATTGTAAAAAATTCAAACCTAAACCACTGGTAAAGATTTAAATGTCTTATGTTAAAGAAGTGGGATAGCAGGAGTTTCCTGGGAATTTGTTATAAAGCCTGCTTTATACAACTGTAAACCTGCTGGGGTGTAAATGTTTTTACAGAGGAGTTGTTTGCCTGTGAGTAATTTTTGGTGCTAATAGTATTTGGTGTGTTTGTGGATGATGCCAGTCTACTCTTCATTTTCTGCTGCATGTTATTTAGATCCTGATTATGACCTATTAAAAGAAAATTGTATATAAATAAGGTTATGTTTTAGCAGTACTTGATTCCATTTTTATTTTTAGCTTGCCCCAGATTTGATTTTTGCTGTCTCATCTTCTTGCCTACAGCAGCCATCATCTGATAATTTCAGTGATAGTTCCAGCCTGCTAATGGGAAGCATAAGTGTCTCCAAAGATTTCTCTGTAGCACTGCAAATTGAGTTCTCTTCTCCCTCCTTCCTTTCTCACCAGCCAAGATAATGACTCCAGTACTTATTTTTGAAGTACACAGTTAATTTTCTTCTTCTCCTGTGCTCTTCTTCTTTATTCTGAAGTTGAAACTCAGAAAATCATGTTGCTTACTGTGTTGCTAAACTTGTACAGGTTTAGTGATGGCTGTAGTCTCTAACAGAATACATTTGTAATATTTTCCCTTAGTTATTATTTACATTAATTAGGGATGGGTGACCAGAATCCTGGGAGATGCAGTGAGGAGGAACTCAGCTATATTGGCTTGTCAGTAGATCACTTACATAATTTCTACTGTTTATATCCCAATTTTTATTTCAGGAAAAGAATCTTTAAGTAAATAAACATTCATCATTCGGTATTCAGGTATTTTAATTTTGTTTTTATTTGGCTTTTGGGTTTATTTTAAGGTATTGCAATCCGAGAGTCGGCCAAAGTAGGGGACCAGGCTCAGAGGAGGGTAATGAAAGGTGTTGATGATCTGGACTTTTTCATAGGAGATGAAGCCATAGATAAACCTACCTATGCTACAAAGGTGAGCATTCAGAGTTCTTAGAAAGTCTTTCCCAAGTTTCACATTTTTATTATAAAATGTTCCAGGACGTCTGGATAACCATTCAAAACACACATTTGCCTTTTTGTAAAGTGTTTTTGTTACTTTTGAAAAACTGCATGAATTGGTTCGTTGGCTTTACCCTTTCTTAAATGTCTGTTTTACTGGTGCTTTCTGTGGGGTTAGTGCTTGTGTAAATATCCATTGATACAGTGCAGCTGTTCAGTTTTCAAAATTATAAGCTATTAAAATTGCCATATACACTGAATATTTAAATTCTTGCTAAAAGTGTATCCTCTTAACGATGGCATGTGAATTGGGAAATGTCTTGGATAGTTTTGCTTCAGGGAATATCACAATTGTTTTGTGAAGGGCTGTCTTCAGTGCAGCTTTTCTGTGAATCATATTTTCCATGCCCTAGTAAAGGACTTCTTGTACTTACAAAGTGTTACTGGCTTATGAATTATGTGGAAAAAAATCATATTTTATACATCCTTCTGTGTTACTTAAATGTCAGCTGTGTTCTTAACATTGAACAAAATGTAAACATCATCCCTGCCAGAATTTTTGTTAAAAAATACATAGCCTATATGGTCTTTATTTCTTTTTATAGTTTGGGAGGCATACTGGAGCCAAGTATGATCCTCAACTTTATAAATTATAAAATTTATACAAAAAAAAAAGATTAAAATGCGGTTCTGCAACAGACTAATAGCAGTATTAGGAAGAGAGTCTGGACTCTGACCTGCTAGTCCTGCAAGGTAGAATTGTACTTCAGAGTACCTGGGAGCAGGAGATAACTTCAAACCGAGCCTCTAAATTAAAGTCAGAACGGAGGGTTTGATAAGTTAACAGTGAGATGAGGTGTTTTCATTGTTTCAGAACATGTAAGGGTTTGGGGATGGAACCTGTTCCTGTTTGTGGGTTTGTTTATCCTTGTATGATCCAATGTTGACAAGTTCTCTTGCTGCAGTGGCCTATACGACATGGTATTGTTGAAGACTGGGACCTCATGGAGAGGTTCATGGAGCAGGTCATTTTTAAATACCTTCGAGCTGAGCCTGAGGATCACTATTTTTTAATGGTGAGTTAATGAGACCTGGCAAGAAAATATTTTTGTAAGAGGAAAACTAAGTAATGTTCCAAGCACAAGTAGCTCTGATGGAGGGTGTTCCTCTGTATGCCTTTAATTTCTTCAGCAATGGGAGTGGGTGGGAGGGGAAAAGTAATCTTTAAAGCTGCATTGTAACTATTCTGTTAGGTTATTGATGCAGGCTGCTGCAGGTCAGCTACTGCTTTTTAAAAGCTTCAAACAGTTTAAATTCCATTTGAAATTTTCTATTTTGAGTGCCCTGAGAATTTAAAGTTTGATTACCATACCAAGCTAATCAGTGAAGGACTCTATTGAGATGCTTTTTCAAACCTCTTTGTTTTTGCAGACAGAGCCTCCACTGAACACACCAGAAAACAGAGAGTATCTTGCAGAAATCATGTTTGAGTCATTTAACATCCCAGGACTTTACATTGCTGTTCAGGTGAACAAAGTGAACGTGTGCTTCTGAAGTGCAGTGTAGCTGCAGAACGGATAGTCATCTGTATGCACATGTCTAATATGTTTGCAACAGTTCTTTCTGAGACTGTAAATTAGCACACCCTGCGCTCTGTCTGCTTCTAATTATAAACTCTTTCTGCTGCAGGCAGTGTTGGCCTTAGCTGCCTCCTGGACGTCACGGCAGGTTGGGGAACGTACTTTGACTGGGATTGTCATCGATAGTGGGGATGGAGTGACCCATGTAATCCCTGTGGTATGTAGCAGGATGCAGCTTGAAACTGGTGGTGGCTTGTTTACTATAGATTTAAATAGGAAGTGTCAAATGAAACCTTACTTTTAAATTTTCAGTGTTGTTTGGGATTTTTTTATTTCCTTGAAAAAGTACGCATTTTATTATGTGAGCTTAATTTTGTAATTATTTAGTTTGCAGACTATAGGAAGGTCACAATAAGGAACCATCAGACCATCTTTTAAAGTCTATTCCTATGTGAAACCTGATCTACTGTAAATGTGATGCCTCAGTTCTGTTTAATATCAGTGGTTATCATGGTTTTGGGTCTTCTGCCTGCCACCATCCAGAAATGTCCTAACTTTCTGGATGTCCTGAATTTTGATTGTTTACTATAGCTGGTAATGCATGCTTTTTGTATGATTTTATTTTGTTGTCTCCACATTGTGTTGTTTTATTGTATTCTGTTGTTTCTGCTTGTCTGGAAACAACTACAAACTTTTATAAATGCCTGTTCATGCACATGGTCATTCTCATCAGTTTAATTATGTGAGGATGTTAAATATACAGAACTATCTGTGCATAGTGACATCTGTTCTGTTGATGTCATTTTGTGTATTTTTGAAGCATGTAGTGTGCTTGAATGATCAGGTTTCATTTCAGAAATGAAAATTTGATTCCCATTAACTTCATCTTGCATTTTGGTATTAACCTTGTCTTCTCAGTGTTTTTGTCGTATGGGCAGTGCTGTGAACAAACAGCATATACTGTATGAGCATTTGCTCTGAAAAGTCTAATAAAAGCAAGGGAAGAAATAATGTGGCTCAGCAATATCAGTGTTTTCAGTAAATGCATCCTAAAAAAATTCAGCAGATCAATTTCTTACTGTTATTGTCCTCATTGTTAGACACTACTTCATTTGATTTTTTTCCTGAGCAATTTAATAAATTTTATACTTTTTTCTATTGATTTTTCACTCTCAAGCAGGGTACAAGTGGTCTATTTATATTACATTTGCTTTTCAGATGACACCATAAAGGAAACATCTGATCTGACTCTCATGTGTGCAAGATTTTGGCTATCATTTGTATATCTATTAGATAATATCTGTTTATATGTGATAATCAAGGTCTTCTAAATAAAAATAATACCCAGGTTGCAATGGAGTGCACATTTTTATAGTAATTTCACAGTTTCAAGATTTTAGTTTTAATTAAAAAGGTATTATAAAAATGAATGTTAATTATTGATACACAACAGGTTTTTCCCTTATATATTTTTTTTCCCTCTCCTCCCACATAGGCAGAAGGCTATGTAATTGGAAGTTGCATCAAACATATTCCTATTGCAGGTAGAGATATTACTTACTTTATTCAACAGCTCCTAAGGGAAAGGGAAGTAGGAATTCCTCCTGAACAGTCTCTGGAGACAGCAAAAGCCATAAAGGTACACCCATCTTTCTCTCTTAATAAATACATGAATAAATCTCTGTGAGCTAATTTTTTGGCTCTTAAAAGTTGCCAGTGGCTCTCTTAAAAATGCAAATTTAGGCAGTGTATTGTAATTACACCAACTTCTGGTGGTTTATCCAATCAGCTGTGGGGGAGAGGAGAAAGAAGAAGAAAATAGTCATGCTAGACTGTTTGGAGTGAGTATGTTCTATGGATTAAATTAGCATTTTAAACTTTAGATTTGTTTAAATTTGTTTGCTTTGTCATTTAATTTAAAAAAAGAAAGTAATGTAGGGTGATTGTGTGGGTCTGATCTTGCAGTGAAAGGTTGCCCTTGAACTTCTTTATTGTCACAGACCTACTGTTGGTGATGTTTTCATTTTGAGGGAGACTAATCTAGCTGAGTCAGCCTTATGGAAACAAATGGGCCACATGCCTTGGCTTGTGGGGTTGAGTCTTCAGTAGCCACTGGGGTGAGAAAGTCTCTTGAACAGCCCCATCTGTAAAAATGCTGACATAGCTTTGTTTTCTGGTTGTGTTACATGTTAATTCACCGATGTAATGTTTGGTATGGCTGTTTTTAATGCCTGGCATTTCTTTAACAGGAAAAATACTGTTACATTTGCCCTGACATAGTGAAAGAATTTGCCAAGTACGACGGAGATTCTCGGAAGTGGATCAAACAATACACTGGCATCAATGCAATCAACAAAACCAAGTTTGTTATAGATGTGGGATATGAAAGGTTCCTCGGACCTGAAATTTTCTTCCATCCAGAGGTAAGAATAAGAACTAGCAACGTGAAGTTACAGAAAGTCTAGTGAATGAGTGAGTGAAGGGAGGGGGAGGACGGTGCCATCATTCCCGGTCCGTCATTCCCAGTACCGTCATTCCCGGTGCCTGTGCGCCATCCCGTGGCAGGGAGGTACCAGTGAGTCTGACTGCAAGCCAGGTGCAACCTCAGGTAACATCAGCACAGAAAAATGTGAGCACAGCAGAGAGTTATTGTCCAGTGTAACCATGTTATTTTCCAATGTCCCATGTAACATTTAAAACATCTTGTTCCGTTTTTTAAAGGCAGTCTCAAGTTGAGACCAAATTGTTTGAATTTACAGTTTTGATAGAGTATTTTCCTCTTTCTCTCAGCATTGGTTTAAAGCAGTCTGCCTTTATACTGAATATTTGATTATGTTGCCAATCCCTTTGGGCACTGCTCTGCGTGACAGCATTGCATGGATAATATTCTAATTATTTGATGCAGACTTTTGATGCTGAGGCAATTTATAAAGCATGATAAATTTGTCCTTGAGAGAAGTCCATTGACATATCTGTTGTTGTGGTCATAGGTCATGTACATTTCTGGGAAACATTACAATACCTCGTCTGTCTGATTTTTGGTAGTTTAATTTAAGTGAGCTTCAGGATATTGTGGAGAAGAAAGAGACAAGTTTCAATACATTACAGCATAGCAGAGAAGGACCTCTCTGTTCCTACACAGTCCACTGAATTTATTGCAGGCACCCATAGTCTGTAATACTATTAAAAACTTTTATTAAAATCCATATTAACACTGGTTTCTCTTTGTCTACCCTCTTCCTCTCAGAAGAATATTAAAAACCTCTTTCAGTCACCTCTTGTCTAAATTCCAGCCTTAATCTCTTCTGGTCAGTTTGTAGCCATCTGATCTTCTGCCAGTATTCAATTATTAAATCTCTGGGCTAAGTATTTCCTCCCTGCTGTTCATCCATGTGATCTTGTAGAGAGGCATTGAATCCCATGTCAGACATCATTTTGAGAGCTCCTCTTTCCACAGTCCCTACAAAGACTGTTGGGAACAGGATAAAGAACTAATTTCCATTTTTCTTCATTTCTTGTTAGTTTCTTGACTGAATTAAAAAAACTCCAAACAGGAAAAACACACTAGATGATATGTATTGCAACCAAAGAGAACTTCTTGGACCCATTAAGTCCTCACTTCAAAGGGTATCAGATTAGCTAGGTAAAAGCTGCCTTTGGTAAAGCTGTCTTGTAATCTTTTCCTATTTTCACTTTACAGAATTTGTTCTGAAGTCTTTAATGCTCTTGAAGTTAGGCTTTGGGGTTTGTAGTTATCCAGCTTATTTCGCTGCTTTTTAAATTAGCTATATTACTTGCTATTCCCCAACCATATGGTATTGGTTAGCAGACTGCAATTTCACATGTCAGTTCCCTTGCCCCTGTTCAGCAAGCGTGTTATGCTCTTCTTTGGATACCATAACTCTCATTTCTACTTACTCCTTTCGCCCTGCTGTTCCATCAGTATCCTTATGGAGAGATCAGGAGCTTTCAGGCTGTAGTTCATTTAGATGAGAACTCTCTTTGTGCAGCCACACTGCTGCTTTCTTCTGTTTTAATTTACATGGCTTCATGTTTTAGCCTTTTCCATGATTAATTCTTACTGTGGAAATTAGCTTGAGTTCTCGGGGATTTTTCCCATCGTCGTTATGACTGCTGAGCTCCATGACAACTTCCTCGGCTAATTTCACTCAGTTCAATATATATTTGTTGAGTTTGGCTGTTGTTACTCATCCAGTTCAATACCTCATCTTGTTTAGGGTGCAAGTCCCCACATGGCTTCTGTAGCTATGGGAAAGTTTTTGAATTATATGGTAATGTATTTAGAATAACATTATTATGTGTTGAGAACTTACTTAATTTCTCAAGTTTTAATCTCTGAAAGGACAAAAACTAGTCTATGAACTGTTCTTTCTTTTAAAGATCACATTAATTTTAAGTGAAAAGTTGCCACTAGACTAAGCATGTTTTCTAGCATTAGCTACTCTGACTCTCTACTATGTATAAGAGCAAAAATTTACATTAGCACTGTATTGATTTTGGCTTTGATGGGAACTTCCACTCAAAACCATAGACTGTTTATGCTTTTTTTAATATTACTGACTTTCTGTTCTTGGAAAAAAAAATCTTACTTTCTGGTGATAATTTAAACGAAGTATTTTAGTAGTATTGAACATTTTTTACAGGGAAACATTCCAATTTGCACACTGATGCTTTTTCTCTCATTTAAAAGGAAAGGCAGGACCACACTGCACAGTAACAGTGTTTTGATATTGCAGGAGAGCTCAAATTCGTGTCACAGGCGATAAAAGGTCCATAGTGCATAAATTGTAGACAGCGAATTTATGGCCAAGGAAGAGAATCTGAATTTCCCAGCAAAAAAGGGAATTGTTATTTCCCTCATATGGAAGTGTGTCTGTCATAATGCAGGATAAGTGGCGAGCAAGACTGATTCCCACCCATCCTCTATTACAAAATCTCTCCACAGTCTTATTTCTGCCTTTGTGTTTCACCTGTTTTTGGATGAAAAAATCCAATGCCTGTTCTGTTTCATTTTAGTTTGCTAATCCTGATTTCATGGAATCCATTTCGGATGTAGTTGATGAAGTTATACAGAACTGTCCCATTGATGTCCGGCGTCCATTATATAAGGTATGGTCTTTCTGCTGTAAGATGGATGTAATCTCTTTAAAGATTAATTATCAATATCATCATCAGAAACAGATACATAGCTACCACTTCCTCTTCTGTGAGAAATGTGAACTTTGAATGGAAATAAAATTCAAGTGAAACGAAGTGCCACTTCCAAAGGCCAGTTGATATTTGATGCTTTTTATTTTTGAAAGAAGAGTTATCTGTAATGGCTTGATACACAGGTGAGTATTGTTCCTGAGGAACTGAGGCAGAGGGATGTTATTTGTATCTGACATTTGTAATGTGAATTCTTATGCATAAAGGACTTTGAATTTTGCCCATTTTAAGGGTTAGGTCACGATCTCCCCCTCTCACTCCTCTTCTTCCCTTACTTTATTTAGTAGTGGTTTCAAATAAATTTTCTTTTTATAGTCTTGTCTTGTACCTGCCCACTGTCTGCAGTTTTAGCCAGTTTTGAACCCAGTGATAAAGTGCATGAGACAATAGTTAGGCCAGCTAAAACCTGCCCAGGTTGTAGTCTAGAGAGTAGTTTCAGTCCCTGATTCTTTAAGAAGTGAAAAGTAAGGTACTGATGTGTGTAGTCCATGGCAAGCTCTCTCTGTATTGGCAGCACATCTTGTGCTTCCCGTTTTTCTGCTCGTGCAGCAGCAATGCCCTTTTGGAAATAATGGCAAAAAGCAACAGCACGAAGAGTTTTGCTTGCTCATGTAAAAGGGGGTAGTTTTCCTCACCTGTTAGAATGACCATTAAGTTCCAACAAAGTCGTATCCCAGGATAATTTGGAACTATTAAAATTTTGCAGTCTGTTTTACTTGTCTGGTTCACATGCTCTGTGATCTAGAGTGAGCTGTAGCACTTCAGAGCAAATCTGTGGAGCAGGTTAAAATGCAAAGTTAAACTATTTAAGAGGCTTTTATGTGGAGTGAGTTTTGCGGTAGATGTCCTCAAAGGCTTTAAGCTCGTGTGTTGCAGAAGGGTTTAGGAAGCCCTTAGTGTGTGTTTGTGCTGTATCTGCTTTTTACCTTAAAAGCCCAAAGCTGCCCTAGAGCAGCAGCTTCTTTGCTTGGTAGGGTGAGGTTACTACTGACTTCCAGAAAGTGGTTTTTAGAAGCTAAGGTTAAGTTATTCATGCCTCACCATAATCAGCAGGCAAATAACTTTCCTTTGGCTTACCACTGATTGAGAATTATTTTTTCCATTCCCTGTTTTTCATTTCACTTGCTTAGTTAAACAACACTGCACAATTGGCTGTTGAATGTAATGATAGATGTGAGTGGTTATTAATGATAATAATTGCCAACTTCTTTCATCAAGGTTGCTGCAAAGGGTTGAGCATCTCTGTTCTCACTGTTTAAAACAGTGTATGGATGCAGAAATAATCCACTCATACTTTCTCTTAGCTCTGGGGTTTATCAGTTTCTCTTGCCCACAATTGCAGTGTGGTGGCCAACCAAGGCCCCTGTGCTTTGCAGCTGGGTTTCCATCAAATGCATTTGGATTCTTCCTCTGTGTTCCTGCAGAAAATACCTAAGAGTACACTTCTTACTGATTTTATGTAGTATGTAGCCTTTGAATCATTGTTTCACAACCCATCTTTTGATGTCCTGTGGTATTTTTCTTTCTGAGTTTCTATAGCCACTATCCCTGTTTCCCAGTCTGATCAACATCTCTTTTACAAGGCCAGTTAACCTACCTCATGTTGCTGTTTGGACCAGCAGAACCTTCATAAGACTGACTTCTTCAGCCAGATCTGTGACAACAGATCTGTGACAGCAAGAGGAAGGAAGCACCTCAGATTTGTAAATGCTCGTTGGCTGAAAGGAGGGATAAAGGTCAGAGAGTCTGCAAACAGTCAGAAAGTTTTAGTAATAAATTACACACTTGGCATGGACATGAGTGTGTTAGTCCCTGACCTACTGTATAAGCACACAGCAGTGGGTTTTGGATAAAGGAGTAGGGTGAAAGGGAAGAGAGGAATTAAAGAGGGAGAGTTGAATTAAAGAAAGAAAGAGAGAAAAAGAGAGAGAAAAAGATGTCACCAGTCCTGGTTCCAGAGTCATTCTGGCTGAGGGGATGCTAATTTTGGTTTCAGTGTTGACCCAGCTGAAGGGATGTCAGTCCTGGTTTCAGCATTGATCCAGAAAAGGATCTCACTCTGGACCACTGTTTACAGGGTCATTAGAGAGTGGGCTGTTTGTTTGTTTGTAGGTGGTTTTTTTGGGGTTTTTTTTGGTTTGCAAACTCAAATCTTCGGAAAATAGAATGAAATTTAAAGTGAGTGCGCAAATGAAATTATACAGGAGATAATTTTTGAATCTTACCACATGGCTGAAATAATCTAGCATTCTGGCTGTGTTAATTGTTCCTATGTAGTGAACTCCACTGAAAAATTACCTCGTCCTGCATGCAGCTAGAAATGCTGCTTTTGGGGGCCTCAATGAGACATTGCATCACCCTTGGCATTCTTTGGGAAAAATGGTGTATAGTTCATCTAGTTCTGGTTTTTTTTTTAAGAACTCTGTAGCTTCCTTTTTTCTTAAAGTATTGTTCCACAGACTTTCCTTATACTTACCTGATAATATAATATGGAGTATAGCTGATATCACAGAAATGCAGAGAAATTATAGGGGGAGTGCAGTAGTACGGTGGGGACTGTGGTCTGCACAACAACGAGGTCCTTTCCCCAGCTTTCAAGTTCCTGTGAGCACCCTACTGAACACAGTGTAACTCTTGAACACGGTGGTGAATATCTGCTCTGTGGTACAGCCACAGCAGATGCTAGTGTTGAAAATTTTCAAGATTAGTTGCTATTTAAAAATCTCTTTTCAACCAGGAAATGCTCTGAAACTTGTCCCAGTGTTTGTCAGTTAGGGCACGAGTTTTGACACTTAGTGTCAAAAACCAATCTGCCAGTGAATGTAGTTATAATAACTTTAAAGGTGGGCAAAGGGCTTTCAAAAGTTCTAAAAACTTCTTGGTATTCTAATAAAAGCAGATTTTTTTTTTTGTTAGTAACGAGTTCAGAAACTGTCACTTTTATTCCACACTCTGCTTCATCTTCCCTTTCCCCCATCCAGAGCCTCTCCCCAGGTTCTCCCAGAGTTTAGATGAGAACAGTATTAACAGTTCCAAGGTCTGTGCCTTACCCCAGTACAAAGCATATTAAGTGTAGGGTCACTGGCTGTTCCAGCAGTTGACTTCTTTCAACTTTCCTCTACTGTGTTTTTGGCACAAATATACGAGTGAAAGAATTTAAGATAAACGACATCTGAAACCAGGTAAATTCAGTCAGAAATATCTCTGACATATCCTAGCCAAGCCTGTTAAAATGTTCATGAATCAGATAATGGCGGATCAACTGGTAACATCCTTGATCTCCAACTTTTAAGCCTGCTTCTCGAGCTGAAAACACTGCATAAGGTGGGGACTGCAGTGTATTGGCAAGTGTGGTGTTTTATTGTAGATGAAACATCCAGATTTTCTGTTGAAACACACGTGCATGGGCACAGGATTTTAACAATATTGACTCTTAGAGAAGGTGATGTTTTGACTGGGTATGCAGAGCTATTGGGGACAAGTAGTGAACTTGAGCTTGTTACTGCAATTAAGATTTGGACTGCACTTGTGTCAGCATTCACTTAGCAAGTTAAACTGTTGGCTGCCCAGCTTGTAACAGCCCGTCCTCAAAGGCCTGGAGAGATCTGGGGCGCGGGAGGCTGACAGGGTGGTAAAACACCCCCTTCCTGTCACTGCTGACCTGAATTGCTGGCAAATAGAAATACTCGGTGTGATAACAGCTCCAGCTGCTCAGCGTGGTGGGTAGGTGGCACTGTTCAACTGGGTTTGCTGATGTGTGCTCCAGCACAAGGACTCAGTGACTCCGAGCAGGGCGAGGCGGCTCTGAGGGTGAGGAAAGGCTGGAGAGGCTTCCAGGCCAGGGGGTTCACATCGTATTGGCACTGATAGCAGGACGTGGGAAAGGTATTTAGGCTACTTCGAGTGGAAGCTCCAACTGATTAACATGCCAGTGAAGGACGGGAGTACTGAGGAGAAGCCCTGTTTATTCCTGTCCCAGCTGTAATTACATTTTTAACTTTACCCTAGCTAGTTGGTTTAACAGTAGCTCAACACGTGTGCAGGATTTTCTGGTTCCTTTTGTGTCTGAGGTGTATTTCTGCAGAACAGCACGACTGTAAGTCATGCTGAAATCTTTTGCTATTACTTGAACTGTTAAATGAACATTGAAAATCATGATTTTAAGGAGAGAAGAAAAGGTTTCTTCATCATTAAAAGTAAACATATTAAAAATACTGTTTCTCACAATACATTTACTTCTTCTTGTTTGGTATGTACAATATTTCTTCTTATACTTTCCATATTGTGCTGGCAAACCTGTTTTAACCAAATTAACAGAGGTGTGTAGAGCTTAATTGATTTTCTTGCTAATAACGTGCTTGACTCAGTTGTGAACCTTCCAGCTTTTACCCATAATAACTTTTATTAACGGTTATATATTCCTCTCATTACGTGTCTCTGGTGGTCTGGTCATGTAATGTTAACGTTAATTTGGGCTGTGAATTGTAAGGAAGGGAAATTGGGATGTGTTGTTCTTATTAATCAAAAAAAAAAAGCAGTGGATGCTTTTCAGTTTAGTGCTGCAAAGTCTAAATTGTCCAGCTGAGAGTGTGCTTACACCACAGTACAGTGTGAAGATGCACAAACCAGTTCAGCACCTTCTATTTGGTAGTGCCAAGTTCTACAGAACCTAATTTAAGTTTTTAGAAATTTTATGTAAATTTGATTTAGCTAGAGATTTTTGTTAGAGGAACCGGGTTGCTTTTTTTGAATAACTTCATATTTCTGCAAGATTACTCTGTCTAAGCATAGTACCAGAAATGGTGCAGAGACAAACTCAGTATCACAGAGTTCAGAAGAGAAGCAAAGGATAGGGATGAGAAGGGAGAAATTTCTTTCCAGCCCTCCTGAGTTGATCTCAGTGATCTTAGAGGTCTTTTCCACCCTTAATGGTTCTATGATTGCTATCCACTCCCCTGGTCTCCTTCCAGAAATCCCCCCCTTTCATTATTTACTTCTCATGGTTAACTTTGTCAGGTGTGTGGAGGGTCTTCACCTCTCTCTTCTGAGGGAACACATTCCTTTGAAACAACTTTAATTTTCAACCAGTTAGCTGTAAAAGTAAAAATCATCTAGAGGTTCTTTTCATCAGCAGGTATGATAATTGGTGTTAGCTGAGAAATATGTGGACTGCTTAGAGCTGTTAAACCAGCCAAAGTCTGTTTGAGCACAGTAAGATCAGAAGAAATCTTCTCTAAAGGAATCAGCTGGAAACAGATATTTAAAGACTAATTTGCTTGATGCCTTTTTCTGGGAGGCCAGAGAATTCCCCGGCAGGCTGAAAGCTTAGCCTTCACTAGTAAGCTTGCTCAACAGACATATTCAACGTGCTTGATTGTGAGGTTTTTTGTTAAATAGTTACTGGAATTACTCACTTATTCTAGAGAAGATATTTGTGAGGGTAGGGGGTAGATTCTTGCTTGTCTTTTGGGTTTTTTTGTTGTTGTTGTTTTTTTTTTTAATCTGACCATCTTTTTCGACCTTTGATCAGTCCTTTGTGAGTGGTGGGTGTGGTGCTTGAGGGGTGGGGACTGTATGTGGATTCTGTTTTCACTGTGAGTGAGGAGCACCAGGCCTCTGACCTGCCAGGTTGAGATAACTTACCAAAACCTGTATGTGAAAAGTCTTTTACTAAAGAGTTAGCAGGGATTTGGTCCAGTGTTGACAAGAAGTGTACAGAGCAGGGGAACTGTGACTGTGTAATAAACCATCCTGTAATGACAGTTGGTGTCAGTTGGTATTTTGGATATAATTAACTTATATCCGAAGTCCTGCTTGGCTTGGCTTGTCCAGATATGTGATAGTTAGGTGACTCATCTTTTCAACATGTGGACCCTGATACTCCTGTTCTCCTTGGCCACTGTGTTGTTAAACTGATTTCAGTGTGTAGAAGTATTTGAATAATCATACTCTGAAAGTCGAAGGTGTAACCTTTTATCCTCTAACTCTGGAATGATAACTAACTGGATGGAAAGATCATCCCAGTGTTACTGCCAACTCTATAGTTGTATGAATTGGTCTTGAATGTCTTTGAAAAAATATTTTCAGGTGTGTTCTGAAATCTATTTTTAGTGCTAGCTTTGTCCACTTTATGGAGTATGCTTGAAGTTTAATTTGCTTTGAATAGAATTACTGCTTTCACAGTCTTCGCCAACTTCATTATCTCCAGGTAATATTTTCTGATGGCATCTTTTTAATTGCTATTTCATCACTCAGGTTGGTTGTTGTCTTTTTTTCCCTATTAGCAATTTTTTTTTCCCATGTGGAGTGCGTGACCACTTTGAGGCAGGGGAAGAGATGTTCTTGTGTATGAGGGGGAGCAGGGGGAGTCTCCCTCCTAATTTAATTTTAGGGCCAACTGTGATTTCTGACTCCTGCTTATGCCTGTGGCTCCTTTCCTCTTCTCTGTCCTCCTCTTTCTTTTAGGAAGTGTTTCAGTAACGTTATTGGGACATGTGGTTTTATTTTAAGCACACCTGCCTTGTTATGCATTCTTTTATACTGTGAGAATCTGAAGCTGTGAAGAAATGAGTTTTTCCTACTGTAATGGGTTTTTATGATGTGCAGGGATTTTTTTCATGAATAAACAAACAGCTTTCTTCTCACTTTACAAGATACAAACAAGATTTTCTTTGTTATCTGTTGCATAAACTCCAAGCACTTACATCTGCACTTTGAGTGCTTATTATGTATGTCTTTGACTCTTAAGATTCTTGTGCAGGCTGAAAACAGTGGGTCAGGGATTCTTTCATTACATGCACAGTCTCGGTCTGCAGTGTCAAAAACTGTTATTGAGAGATAATCCTTTGACTTGTGTATGATGAACTCCTAATCTGAATTCCTTGTGGACGTGTGTCTAAGGCATATGAGTGGTTTTAGTAAGTGCTAATTGGCACTTGGGGTTGCAGTTGCAGCACTGTACAGGGGTACACGTGAATTTTGTCACAAAGAGTTCATTTTTTTCTGATTATTAATTGCATTTTTGCTGCTGCTAGTGTTCCTGTTTTGAATCCCCCACCTTTGAAATGACTTCTGTGTTAGTCTGTGATGCTGCAATGTTATCAGGATTGGGGATGGGATGTTCTAAACCCCCTGTTTAGAATCCAAGTACAAGTCCAGGCTGAGAGGTTTTTGGTTCTGCTCTGAAAACTAGGTAATACCAGCCAAGCAAGGAGAAAGGCATCGTACCTTTCTCTGTGCTGCAGTCCTCTGTGGAGGAGTGGTGCCTTTTTGAAGAATCATTGACCTTGCTGGTTGCTATGTTTGGAAGTTTAACTCTTAAAATAAATAAAAAAAAAACAACTCAACAAAATTGAGTCCTAAGGTGGTATGAAGAGGCTTGAGACTTTATTTGGTGTCAGGGCTAAAACTGCTTACTATGAGCATCCCTGGGAAATTTCTTGATGTAGTGTCTTATTTTTGCTGCTCTGCACATGTGGGGTACTAGCTCACTGTTGTAATGGAATCATCTTTTGTAATAACACTTGCTACATAAAAGTATTTAAAGGAGAAAAAAAGTAAGTAGGGGACCATGAGGCTTCTTTAAATAGGATGAAGTGAAAGGTGTTCTGTGTACCTTGTCAGCTCCCTTATGATGGTAAGGTCCAAATAGTCACATCTGCAGCATTGGCTGTTGGGAAACTTGCTTGAAGCTGGATTTACAGCATGTGTCTTTAATTTCTGCACAGAATGTGGTTCTCTCAGGAGGATCCACGATGTTCAGGGACTTTGGACGACGACTGCAAAGGGATTTGAAGAGAGTAGTGGATGCGAGATTGCGACTTAGCGAGGAACTCAGTGGTGGTAGGATAAAGGTACGTAGAGCATTTCAAGTGCAATAATTGCATGAGTAGTGAAGGAAGTCAAGGTCAAAATTTGCACCTCACTAGTGAAAATACACTTGTAAAATCAATAGTAAAGCTATTAGGTAGCTATTAGGTAGCTTTGCAGTGTATGAGTTACTGTGAGTTCTGTTTTCCGTTTTAGGAGTTGAGAGATTTGACTTTTGTGTCCTTTGTCATAGTTATCAGGAGGAGTTTTATGATATGATCTTCCAGAGAACATGTCAGACTGAGTGATAAGTGTGAGTTAGTTATTTGAATGGAGGGTTGAAGATGTCTGTGTCTGACCATGTTAAGTTTGTAAGGAGATTCCCAGAAATGGTAAACCAGCTAAATATGAACTGTTTTTCTTAGCCCAAACCAGTGGAAGTTCAAGTGATATCACATCACATGCAGCGTTATGCAGT